GGAGAAGTGATTGCGGCATGACCATCCCCCCTGGGGGGTGATTTCTCGCTTTCTGTCTCTATGTCTCTCTCTGTCTGCCTGGCGAGCACAGGCGCCCTACAGTGAAAGTCTCTCCAAAAAAAAAAAAAAAAAACCAGCAAGGAAGGCATCATGGCACAGAACAATTTCCCAGAAACTGTACTACTTCCAGAAGTACCTTCTCCTGGCTCATTTACTTTGCTTGCCACTACTTTCACAACTTTGGCACAACCTTTTTCCCCTTGCTTAATCTCTAAGAACCACTCCCCCTCATACCAGATCCTTAAGGAAAGACCACAGCCAAGATAGTTCTCAGCAGAACTGCTAGCTGTTTCTCCTGGCTCTCCACACGAATAGCAAAAACCTTAATACTCATCCAACTCTATGAAAGCCTTTCCCCAATGATAAATAGGGCATCAGGATTCCTAAGACTTATTACATATCCGAAAACACTTCCAGTAAATTGTTTTTCCATGAGTTGTAAATTGACCACAAAGGTTACCCAAATAATGAAAACAAGCTAATCTCATAGAACAAGGTTTTTCAAAAGCATCCTATTAACTATGCTCATCTTTTATGTCCACTATTGCCCTAATTAAGCTTCAGAACAATTCCAAAATAGTTGTTTTATACGGTCTTGCCAGTTTCACAGAATTTCTAACAAGAGAAAATATTGATTCACACTACTTAATTAAATGGCTGTCGCTGGTCTCCCATGTAGTCAACTGCGTGTCAAACTAGGGTGCATATGCATGTGTGTCCAAGGGGCAGGGCTACCCCCCCTGTGGGGTAAATTTTCGCTTTCTGTCTCTTTCTGGTGAGCACACGTACACTATAGCAAAAAGCCTCTCAAAAGAAACAAAAACAAAAGAGAAAAAAACAAATGCTGTATTCTCAAAAAGCACAAACCAAAAAGTCAAGTGCAGGCCAGTCAGTGGTGGGTACATGTGTGCCCAATATCCCAAAGGAGGGAGAAACAGTCCTTCCCCACCTCAAGCTTTCTCACTCTCTCCAGAGCGCACACTTGCCCTCTAGCAAAATTTAAAATGAAAGCAAAGCCAAGGGAATTTAACAAACCTCATAAATGGAACTTATAGTTTACTGCTTAAGTTAACATCTTCTGATAACTCTAATACCAATAGCTAAGTCTATCGGAGCATCCTGCAGATAAACAGGCTCCCATAATTTTATCTCCTCCATAAAATTTGCATCAGTTTCCTTGAAATTTCTCAAAACCTGGCACCAGTATCCCTAATAGCATTCATCCATTCCCTAACACCATATGCATGCCTACTATATGTACCAGAAGCAGGGGACTGTGTCTAAGAAAAACCAGGCTATTCTCCTATAGAATGTGCACATACTGATAGGTAATACAAACAACACCCAGCTATCTGTGATTACACATTATGATTTAAGGAAAAAAAAAAAGGTATAATGTCATTTGAATAGCCAAGAGTTCATCAGGTTTATGAAGAGAAATACCCAAGTTTGCATTCACCAGTGTAAGTCTTGCAATAAGCCAGAGACTGGTACTGGTTCAGAGTTTGAATTGAAAGGAGTGCCAACTTTCATTCCGGGCATCTCAGGCTACCACCCAAATTCTAGGTTTCCTCACACTTAGCACCTGTTGGCATTTCCACTCACCCCTCAAGATGTACAATTACTCAATTTTCAGGGCACATAAAATTTCACAGAAGAGTTGCTGTTACGATGCACCAAGGGACAGGGGAGTCTGCAAGAAACCAAATCTAGAAGGGATCTCGCAAGCTGATTCAGGTAGAGAACCGTATCATTCACCAGGTGAAATACTTTGCCCTGACCTTAGACCACTCTGGCTTTTACTACTTACCTTTTGCCGGAAAGGATAAGGAGATTAGTCCTTTCTTTAATCATCTTTCTTTTCTTAACCCATCAGCAGAGGTGATCTGGATGAAACTTAAGTCTCTTCAACCTTGCCTTATATATAGCTTAGACATCACCAATCTGAGTTTTATTTACTATTCCCTACTCCTTACCCTACTTTACCTTAATGGCAGTGATGGCAAAGGCTATTTTCCGCCGCCCATCGATGTTGGTATTGAGTACTCGCAAAATGTGCTGGAACTTCTCAGGGATCACTAGAGACTAAAAGAGTGTGGGGGAGAAATTAAGACAAAGTGAGCTACCATCAAACTGAAAGGTCGCTAAGTCGAACACACAACGTCAAACGGAAACGATAAGGTTGTCACAGAGAAAGCAACGACCACCTCCCCCCATCTCTCCCCACTTAGGCTTTCCCACCAAAGCAAACTCTTGAGTTTTGCAGAGTGCAGAAACAGGAAACGTTCAAGCTTGGGAAATGCAACCTCTGCCTACTCCCAGAAGTACACTCCGTGAGGCGAAGGCCGGAGGTCCCCACACACGCCTAAACCACTGGCAGTTCCCGTGTGCCCGGGGAGTGACCCTTCCTCAGGCCCCGCTCCCCGGAACTGAAAGTCTTCGCTCGTCCCTTCCCAAGGGCACGATCCAAGGCTTCACACAAAAAGTTGCAGGTCCCCAGGACAGGGCATTCTCAGCACCCTGAGAGCAGACTTTCCCCGCCCGAGTCCCGATGTCGACGGATCCCGGTACGGATTCCACTCTTACCATGGCGGCGGCACAAGCGGCGGCGTGTAGGCCTCCTGTGGAAGAGAGAGCGGAAGTGACGCAATATTGTTATATAGCTTCCAGACGGAAGGGGCGGAGCTACCTAGGATAAGCACTTCGGAGTCGGACTTAGGAGAGTCTGACTCGAATGCTGTAACTTCCGGTGTGGTCTTTCTTTACAGTTCGTAAAGTTCACGCTTATGGAAGCAGGCAAGGTTCCGGGAGGAGATTGTGCTTGAGACGTCCACGTTTCCACTCACACTTGGGTGGAATAATTAGAGCTGATAATGGGAAGACTGGAGTCAAACAATTGAATTCAAACCTCGGAACGATTTCGCCCTGTGCAAGACACTCTGGGACTTGTAGTTCCTCTCTGTGTATCGGACTCGCCGGGACTGACAGCTGCCGGAAGTGAGGCTGCGGGGAATGGCCGCCGCTGCGACCATGGCGGCTGCCCCCGGCTGCCGCCCGGGAGCTAGTGTTGCGGGCTGGAGCCTCAGATATGGAGGAGGAAGAGGGCCCGCTGGTGAGAGCGCGGGGATGTTTCTCCTCCGTAGTCGCGTCCGCTCGTCCTGGCAACAGAAAGGCCTGGGCCGGGTTCTGGCATAGGGATGGGAGCTGGGCTGCTGTGGGTGATGCTACCTGTTTGGCTCCCCATACCCTACCCTGGGATCGGACCCGATCCTGAGCAGGGCCCAAAATGGTTGAAGACACTCAGGTTCTGGGACACAATTTCAACCTCTCCACGTTTTGGGATAGAATAGAGAGGTAGTATTGTATAAAGGTTAAGAACGTGGCCTCTGGAGCCGACTGGGTTCTAATTCTAGCTCTGCTGCTTACATGCTGTGTGTCCTTGGGCAAATTAACCATCTTCTCTGTGCCATCACTTTCCACATCTTGAAGGTGAGGAAGATAATAGGACTTACCATATAGGTTGTCATTAGGATGAGATGAATAGTATGAGATGGTACCTGGCCCGACGGTAAACACTATGTGTTAGCTGACATTTCCAGGGAATCTGAAATTCCCCAAAGATGTGATAAAACACCTGACACAGTAGGAATCACAGGGCCTACATTCAGCCGCAGGTTCTTCTTTGTCCTCTGCATCACCTCCTTTTCCTCAATCGTGCATCTTCTAGTCTTGGACTATGTAACTCCTTGTCATATTCCCTACTCGTGAGCCCAAAGTAGTAGGTTGGGTACAGCAATACTTAGAACTTTCTGACTCAGTACAGTTGTCTTCCCAGTGTAAGTGCCCCCTCCACTTTAAGAATTGGGGTCTCCAGTTGTATTTTGTCCTTATTACACTCTCCCACCCCCATTCCATTCACTTGTTCCCTTCCAGGGTGTTGGTCCTGGGCTCCAGGAGCCACTGCAGCTCGGGGAGTTGGATATCACCTCCGATGAGTTCATCCTGGATGAAGTGGATGGTAAGTGATGGCACAGAGTGGGTGCAGAGAGGCGCGGGGGCTGGGATTGGTGCACAGATGTTCGGTGTGGGGAGGGGGCACTGTGGAGCCGGAACCTTCTGATAAACTTCTATTTCCAGTTCACATTCAGGCAAATCTGGAAGATGAGTTAGTAAAGGAAGCTCTTAAGACGGTGAGGCCTTTCCGCTCTATGTATCAGCCCCTCCTACCCTTCCCCCAAAGGAAAAAACAAAGCCCAAGAAACAATAGCCTCTTGCTATTGTTATACCACTCTAGTCCTTTACTGATTCTGTTCCAGTGTCCCTGCACTTCAACTCCTTCCTGACCTGTCATCTTTATGTTCTCCCAGGGTGTGGATCTTCGTCACTATTCAAAGCAAGTTGAGCTGGAGCTACAGCAAATTGAGCAGAAGTCCATCCGGGATTGTATCCTGTAGCAGGAGGAAGGGATGATGTTGATGTGGGGACTTTTGTAGGGTTTTCTCTGAGGTTTCTGTCACTTCAGAGAGAAACTGGAGAGGGACTGCTGGTCCCAGCATCTCCATCTTTACCGCGAGGCCCCTTGACGTTTTACGGATTAGATATCCAAGAGAGTGAGAACATAGCGTCTCTGCACAATCAGATCACAGCCTGCGATGCTGTCCTGGAAGTGAGTAACCATGACCTGTACCCCTTGATAACTCGGAGCCACACCATGGCCTCTGGTGCCATTCTTTAGGTCTTCAGCCTTAAGCGATGGCAGAATAGGATCACTTTCAGAATGGTCTCAGCAGCCCCCACCCCCACTTTAAAAAAAAAAGAATTATTTAATTTTTAAAATTCATTTATTTATTTTAATTGAGAGATACACAGAAAGAGAGAGAAAGTGAGAAAACAAGCCACCAGGTCCAGGATTCAAACTGTGGTCAGCCATATGGGAGTGTCCAGCGCCTTAACCACCACGCCACCTGTTGGTCCCCCCACCCCTTTTTGAGAATTATTTATTTAATTTTATTTTTTACTATTTAACATTTTACTGTAGGGCATGTGTGCTCACCAGAGAGAGACAGAGAGAGGAGAAACGAGAAAGCAAACTGCTAGGTCGAGGACTCGAACTAGCACGTGCTCGGCCACATGGGAGTTTAGCAACTCTAACCACCATAATACCTGCTGGCCCCTCAGCAGCTGTTTTTGTTGATTGCCATAATGTGACCTTTGGGATGCTCATCGTCTGCCGCCCTCATGGACTGATGGATACTTGGGACTTCACCAAGAAATGCAGGCCCACCTGGTCCATGCCAGCCTGTGGTGCTCCATCAACATCTGTCCTTCCCCCAGCGCATGGAGCAGATGTTGGGAGCTTTTCAGAGTGACCTCAGCTCCATCAGCTCTGAGATCCGGACGCTGCAGGAGCAGTCAGGAGCCATGAACATTCGACTTCGAAACCGCCAGGCAGTTCGGGGGAAACTTGGGGAGCTTGTTGATGGTCTGGTGGTGCCCTCTGCTCTGGTCACGTGAGTCACTGGTTTGAAGGGTAATAATGTCCATAGCAGATACATGGGCTAGGGTGGCCTACTATATTTACCGCATGGGTCTCCTGGCTCTATTTTATCAAATACCTTCCAGAAATTAGTGAGTGGGTTGCAGCCGTGTCTAACCTTGATGCTTACTTTACGCATCAGAGATTAGGCGTGATTCAAGGTTGGGTGAATAGGAGGAGGGTCGAGGCTTGCTGGGGGCATGGAGCGTCCAGGAATGGGAAACTTTGTACCTACGTCTTGACTGTGTGGAGCAGTATAAGAAGGTGGAGGCCAGCTGGTTTGAGCTCCGGACTTGGCAGTTTGCTTTCTCACTTTCTCTCTCTCTGTCTCTCTGGTGAGCACAGTGAATACAATAATAATAATAAATAAAATTACGTGAATAATTTTTTTTTTTAAGAAAAAAGAAGGGGTTGCAGTGTGACTATGCCCCATTGGGGGTGTGCTCTCTCCTCACTCCCTGTCTCTCTGGGAGTGCGTGCTCCTTCTGGCAGTTCATTGCTGGAGAGACAGAGAGGGAGAGACACAGAGAGAGAGTCAGAAAGCAAGAACTCACTCCCCAGGGAGGTTGGTGACACCGCAGTCCCTTCTTTATGCTCCTCTCGGGATCTTGGGCATGCACACACATGCACCCAGTGTGAGTTTTAGGCTGCTGTGAGTTTTAGGTTAGGGTTAGGGTTAAGGTTAGGGTTAGGCACTGGGACTCAAACCACAGTCGACTACGTGAGAGTCCAGCAACGTAACCATTACGCCAACTACTGGTCCCTCTGGCAATTCATTTAGAGAAAGGAAAACAAAGTAGAGATGACAGAGACTGGATGTCAGGTTTAGGGCTCTCTGGGTCTTCCTTCTAACCCACGCCTCTCCTCCTTGCCACCAGGGCAATTCTGGAGGCCCCCGTGACTGAGCCCAGGTTCCTGGAGCAGTTGCAGGAGCTGGATGCCAAAGCAGCTGCAGTCAGGGAGCAGGAAGCTAGAGGCACGGCAGCCTGCGCAGACGTCAGGGGCGTGCTCGACCGGCTCCGGGTCAAGGTGGGAGCTGGGGGCGGTTCCCTGGTGACGGTTGGAACTGGCCTCCCTAAAAGTGTTACCCTGGATTTCCCTGGCACAACTCATTGTAGCCTGTCCCTAAGAACTTCACCGTGCCTTAGGGTACGTGTGCTTGCCAGAGAGAGACAGTAAGAGGGAAAGTGAAAAATCACGCCAGAAGGGATAGCCACACCGCAATTCTGTCTCCTCCATTCTCCTCCTGGGCTGTTGGATACGAATACACACATGTGCCCAGCATGAGTTTCAAGTCACCAGGTCTGGGACTCGAACTGCAGTTGACCATGTGAGAGTCCAGGGATGTAGCCGGTACACCATCTGCTGGTCCCAGTTACCCTAAAATATCTTAAGAAATACCCCAGAGAGGGGCCAGCAGGTGGTGTGGTGGTTAAGGGCACTGAACTCCCACATGGCCAACTGTGGTTTGAGTCCCAGACCTGGCATATTGCTTTCTCACTTTCTCTCTCTCTCTCTCTGTCTCTTACTCTAGCCCTCTCTGGTCAAATAAAAAATAAATAAAGTTTAAGTAAAAGAATTCTAAAAAAGAAAAAGAAATACCCCGAAGATATTTTCTACTCCTCTCCGGTGTTGGGCGTTTGCACTTTCCCCCACTCCTGCATGGCAGAAGGGGTGCAGCTTCACGCCCTGTTTGATCCCTTACATCTAGGCAGTGACAAAGATCCGAGAGTTCATCCTCCAGAAGATTTACTCCTTCAGAAAACCCATGACCAACTACCAGATTCCCCAGACAGCTCTGCTGAAGTACAGGTCGTCGCCCCAGGGAAGGGCGCGGGGTGGTCTCAGCTCTCCCATAGCCCCACGTGGGCGCCTGGCTTCATGGGCTGACCGGTTTCTCGGCCCTTCCAGATTCTTCTATCAGTTCCTGCTGGGCAACGAGCGAGCAACCGCCAAGGAGATCCGCGACGAGTACGTGGAGACGCTGAGCAAGATCTACCTGTCTTACTACCGCTCCTACCTGGGGCGGCTCATGAAGGTGCAGGTGAGGCCAAGGTGGGGAGGAGTCCTGGGCAGGTGGTCCGGGAGGCCAAGCAGGGGAGGCGTCCTGGGCAAGTAGTCCGGGAGGCCAAGGGGGGAGGCGTCCTGGGCAAGTGGTCCAGGGGCGGGGACAAGGCAGGACAGGACGGGAGAAACTGATGAGCAGTCTCTTTTCCGCTTTGTCTAGTATGAGGAGGTTGCTGAGAAAGATGACCTAATGGGTGTGGAAGATACGGCAAAGAAAGATATCCTGAGGCTGGAGAGCGCTCAGGCCAGGCCCCGCGACGGGGAGGACTCCTGGCTCCAGCCTCCCAGACGCTGCTGCTTTCCTCTTTCTGTGGGCACGTGATGGAAGCAGCGGCCCCTCCCTAGAAGAACGCGCGTGTCGTTTTGACACAGGCTGTTGTGCGTGGTTCCGGGGGCCTAGGGACTCCCGAAGCCCACTCACAGCTGCCAGGTGGAGTGGGGCCAGGACTGGGAAAGAGGGATGTCTCGACCGTGGCTGGCACCTGGGGTTCAGCCTTAGTCTTTGGGCCCAGTTGTGGTCTCACTGTTTTCCTTGACTCTGAGCCTTGTCACGATTCTTCTCGAAGCCATCCCTCCGCAGCAGGAACACCATCTTCACCCTAGGGACCCGCGGCTCTGTCATCTCCCCCACCGAACTCGAGGCCCCCATCCTGGTGCCTCACACAGCCCAGCGGGGAGATCAGAGGGTAGGAAACGTCGGTCCTGAAGGGGACCTGTGTCAATCTGCTTAGTCCTGGGAGTGGCCTCCTGCAACCCTAGCCTGCCGTGACGCGAGAAGGGCCGGGAAACACTGACTTCCCAGCACGCAGTGCGGAGGGGCTGGCTGCGGGGACTGGCTGTCACGAGGCGGGCGTTGTGGCTGTGGGAGCGGCAGCAGCTGGGGTGGGCTGCTCTGTGCCCCTGTCCCCAGCCCTGCAGCGTCCCCTCAGCTCGCTCTTCCCAGCAGCACTTGGGCTGGCCGCGGAGGGTCTGCAGAGCTGGCCTCACCCAGCTTTGCTGCTCTTAGCCGCTTGCGTGGGGAGCCCGTGCTGGGGTCCATCCTCTGCCTCTTCTCCCCCCAGTACCCATTCGAGGCCCTCTTCCGCAGCCAGCACTACGCCCTCCTGGACAATTCCTGCCGTGAATATCTTTTCATCTGTGAGTTTTTTGTTGTGTCGGGCCCTGCCGCACACGACCTGTTCCATGCCGTCATGGGCCGCACCCTTAACATGACCCTGGTAAGATCCTGGTTTCCTGCATCCTTAAACCCCGTCATCCTCAGCCCTCGTCAGCACCACAGCAGGGTGAGACCCAGTAGTACTAGACCAGGATCCCCTCAAAGCTTGCGTCTGGAAGACGCGCCCCTGCTGGTCCTCACGCAGGCACTACACCTGAAAACCGAGGGGCCCCGAACCTCCGTGTTCTGACCCTGTCCCAAGCCCCCACTGAATCCTGCCTGTGATCACAGATCCCAGTTACCCAGGACCACCCGAGTGGCCAGTGGACAGAGGAGGGGGGCCCTTCCCTTCTAGATCTCTCCCTTCCCGCCCCCCAGTGCCTTATTCAGAGACCGTGTGTTTGTACCACTGGGAGCGACAAGCTGATGGACCGCGTTCCCCCTGCCTGTCCCATCACAGAAACACCTGGAGTCCTATCTGGCCGACTGCTACGACGCCATTGCCGTGTTTCTCTGTATCCACATCGTCCTCAGGTTCCGCAGCATTGCAGCCAAGAGGGATGTCCCTGCCCTGGACAGGTCACTAAGTTCCGGTCCCTGGTGCCCCACAGGCCCTGACCTGTGGTCTTACCCAACTCCGCCCTGACCCCTGGGGTCCTCCTGGCCTGACTCCCTCAGCCCCCATTCATCTGCCTCAGAGGCAGCGCTGCTGTCCTGGCCTGCCTTCCACTGCACCCTCCTCCCTGCCAGCTGCTGACCGCTAACCCGAGGATGACCCACCCCTCCCACACTCCCCGCCAGCCAGCCTGACCCAGACTGAGCCCACAGGTACTGGGAGCAGGTGCTCGCCTTGCTGTGGCCACGGTTTGAGCTGATCCTGGAGATGAATGTCCAGAGCGTCCGCAGCACTGACCCTCAGCGCCTCGGGGGACTGGACACTCGGCCCCACTATGTGAGAGAGGGCGAGGGTAACAAAGGGTCCTTGAAGGGCAGGGCCGTGAGCCTCACTGTGGGTTAGCTGGTGTTGTGTCGCGCACACCGTGTGAGGGGCGGATGATGCGTGGGGTCAGACTCCTGGGGGCTGGGCACTGTGGGAAGGAGGGACTGGAGGCTGGAGTCGCACGGAGGCTTGTTGGTCAAGGGAGTCGGGAGCTGGTACTGCTTGAGCCGGAGAGGGGGCTGAGTTTTCTTCCTGCCTTCTTCCTAGATCACACGCCGGTATGCCGAGTTCTCCTCTGCTCTTGTCAGCATCAACCAGACGATTCCCAATGAGCGGACGATGCAGCTGCTGGGACAGCTCCAGGTGAGGTCGAGCCCCAGACACTTCCCGCAGCCCGGCCGCTGTCACGGGTGGCACCTGAGGCCGGGGGACCTTGCTTTCTCCAGCCACTTTCTCCTTTTGGCTTTTTCAGGTGGAGGTGGAGAATTTCGTCCTCCGAGTGGCAGCCGAGTTCTCCTCAAGGAAGGAGCAGCTTGTGTTTCTGATCAACAACTATGACATGGCCTTCTGATGGTAACGGCCGCTCCGCCCCTCTCCCTCCCCGAGCTCGGGCTCCCCTGCTCTGTTAGCTCCGTGAGGGCATGGACGATGTTCGCCTTGCCCAGGGCTGTACTCCTGCGGTCCGGCGCAGTAAGCAAGTGCCTGGGACAGTAAGCGAGGAAGAAGGGAGCGTCCGGGAGGGAAGAACTACCCTCCCCAAACGCGCCGTTTCCTTTGTCCTCCCTAGGAGCGGGCTGCAGATGACAGCAAAGAGGTGGAGAGTTTCCAGCAGCTGCTCAATGCTCGGACACAGGTAGGGTGTGGGCAAAGGGCAGAGACCTGTTAGAGTTGCTTCCAGCTGTGTGTGTGTCTGTGTGTGCGTGTGCATGTAGGGGGTGGCTGATAGACCTCAGATACACAAACTGAGAATTATTATAACTTTTAACTTCACAGCATGCTGTCATTATTGGTGTATTCTGTTTTTTGAAAAAAAGTGGTTTTTGGTTGGGGAGAGATTTTTGCTATAGGGAGCGCACTCACTGGAATAACAGAGAGAAGGCGAGAAGTCATATCTTCTCCAGGGAGGATGACCACCTCATAATCCCTTTTCTATTCTCCTCTCGGGATTTTGGACATGCACACACATGTGCCTGGCAGGAGTTTCAAGCTGCCGGTTCTGGGACTTGAACCACAGTCAGCCATGTGGGAATTCAGTGCCTTAATCACTATGCTACCTGTTGGCCCCCAATTTTTATTTATTTATTTAAAGTTTATTCCTTTTTGAGTGAGAGACAGACAGAGACAGGTACCCTTGGCAGAGTCTTCCTGCCACGATCCACTCCCTGTCTCAGCCAGCTCCAGGTCTGTGGGCATGGGTGCAGCCGGTGTGCTCAGGGAGGCCTCTGAAAGTGACCCAGACCCCACCTGGTCGTCCCCGCAGAGTGTGTGTCACTTCTGCACCACCCGCTAGCCCCTTCGTCTGTTTCTGTTTCATTTTATTTTAAGTGCTGCGAATACTCATGAACCTGCCACAAATCCAGAACTGTGACCTTGATTAAAAGAAACAGTATCGGGACCAGCAGATGGCGTAATGGTTACATCAGAGCTTTCTGTCTGTCTGTCTCCCCGGGGAGTGAATCTGTCCTAATAGCAAAAAATCTCTTAAAAACAAAAATCCCCTGAAAACCCAAAGTCAGATGATGAATTCTTCCTCACCCCACCCTCTGCCTCTCTAATTTTATTGTCGTGTTATTGCATGACTAGTTCATTCTTTTTCATGGTGACGTAATACCACGTTGTGTCAATGTACACACTTTGTAAGTGGACCTTGGGGTGATTTCTGACACTTCGTAAGTGGACCTTGGGGTGATTTCTAGGTTTTGCTCCTGTGAATACTGTCTTATTAACAGCCATGTCTTTTAGCACACATTGATGTTGATAAACCTGATCAAAAGCTTTTCTTGGATGGGGGGACAGCAAATGGCAAGGTGGTTAGGGCACTGAACTCTCACATGACTGACTGCAGTTTGAATCCCAGACCTGGCAGCTTGCTTTCTCATTTTCCCTCTTTATGTCTTTCTCTCTGGTAAGCATACATGTCCTATCACAAGTTTAAAAATAATAACAATAATAAAATTAAATAATTCTTTAAAAGAAAAAAGCGTATTTTGAATGTATGCTGAGGGCGTTAGGCTTGCTGCTTGTAGGGTACACCAGGGCTCAGCGTTATGAGGCAGGGCCACGTTGTCCTCCTAGGTAGTCGCACCAGGCCACCCCTTACCGGCAACACGGAAGGATTCTCACTGAGCCGTTTTCCCCAACATTGCCGTTCTTGCCTATGTCTCCCGGGGGTCTTGCAGTTCCCTGATTACTAATGAAGTCGAGCCTCATTTCCAATGTTTTAGCATTTTCTTTCTTGGAAAATGTCTTTCGTAGCATTTACTCTTTTAACATTTGTGTCATTTGTTTCCTTTTTAATTTTTGTAGGAGTTCTTTGCATAGTGTACACATTAATCTTTTATTGATCGTGTAGGCCGCAAATGTCTTTCAGTATGTGTCTTTTTTGCTATTTTCCCTTAAAGTTTTTGCCATAGGTCATGTGTGCTCGTTGGAGAGACAGACAGAGGGAAAGTGAGAAGTCACCCCCCAGGTGGCCACGTCACAATCCCTTCTCCTCCATTGTCCTCCTGGGATTTGGGGCACACATGCAATGCACAGGCTTGATTTTCAAGCCGCCTTGTACTATGGTTGGCCATGTGGGATCCAGGGCCTTAACCACCAAGCCACCTGCTGGCCCCAGTATTTTACAAGCCTCCAAGGGCTGGGATTCCAACCATGTCTGCTATGTGAGATCCAGGTCTCTTAACAGCTGGGTCCTCCTCTCCATTTTTTCCTTTCTTTTTTTTTTTTTTGGTTCTGCATAGGGTGCAAGTATTTGTCAGAGACAGAGAGAGAGAATGAGACAGAAAAGGAAAGTGAGAAATCATCTCTGGGGAGATGACCATGTGGCAATACCTTCTTTTTCATTCTCTTAGAATCTTTGACATGCACACATATGTGCCTGGTGTGAAAATAAACTTAAAAAAAAATGTTAAATAGGGGCCGGCAGGTGGTATGCTGATTAAGGTTGCTGGACTCCCACATGGCCAATCACAGTTCAAGTTCTGGACCTGGTGGCTTGCTTTCTCTCTTTCTCTCTCTGTCCCTCTCTGTTCAAATTAAAATAAATAAATAAATAAAAGTTTTTTTAAAAAGTTAAATAACAGGCCAGCAGGTGGTGAGTGATTAAGGTGCTAGACTCCCACATGGTTGAGACAGTTCAAGTCCTGGACCCAGCAGCTTGAAACTCATGCTGGGCACATGTGCGTGCATACCCAAAACCCCGAGAGGAAAATGGAGAAGTGATCGCAGCTTGGCCATCCCCCCCTGGGGGGTGATTTCTCACTTTGTCTCTCTCTGGTGAGCACATGTGCCCTATAGCAAAAATCTCTCCAAAAAAAAAAAAATGAAGTTAAGTAAACAATTTATTTAGAGGGTAGATTCAAAAAGAATAGAATAGAAAGTCTAAACAAAGAGGCAAAAATCAATTAAATACCATTCTAGTAATATTATTATTATTTTTAATTTTGGTATAGAGTGCATGCCTTCACCAGAAAGAGACAGAGAGGGCAGGTAAGAAAACACCCCACCGCAGGGATGGCCACACTGTAATCCCTTTTTTATTCTCCTTGTAAGATTTCAGGCATGCACACACACAGACACACACACACACACACACACACACACCCAGGGTGTTTTTCAAGCTGCTGAGTCTGCGACTCGCAGCCACTCAGTGGGCCGTGTTCGATCCGGCTCCTTAACCTCCACACCACCAGCTGGCCTTCCATTTTTAAAGGTAGCCTCTAAAATATCTTTTGATGATTATTTTTTGGAATTTCAGCACAAAGATATCGAAGGCCTTTTGTTAGATTCATCATCCCCTGGTGGGTGTAATATGTACTTTCAGTCCTACTAGGAATAAATAAATCAGCCATGTGGGATCCAGCCACCTTGACCACTAGGCCGCCAGCTGGCCCTGTTTTTCACAGTTTAACTGTCTTTCTAAGTAGCATATAGCTGGCATTTTTAAATAAATGGATTATCTCTGCCTTTTAATTGTGAAATAATCCATTTTTCATTGCTGTGATTCATGTTACGTTTGGACTATTTGTACTTTTCTCCCGTCTGTAATTTTTTTTTTTTTTTTGCTGTAGGACATATGCACTTGCCAGAGACAGTGAAAATGAGAAAGCACCCCTCGGGGGTATAGCAACAGCTGCGATCCCTTCTCCTCCCTCCTCCTTTATTCTCTTCTCAGGACTCAGGACACACACTTGTACATGCCCAGCATGTCTTTCAAGCCTGCTGGTCTGGGACTCAAACCCCCCCCCCCCCCTCCAGCCCCCATCTGTAATGTCCTGTTGGTCCCGTGTCTTCTGTGCTTCTTGCCTTTACTTTACTACATCTTTCTCTCGAGTGGGAATTTGTACTCAATTCTCTTAGGCTTTTTCCTTTAAAATTTACCTTGCATATTTAGCTGATCATCTCAACAATATCCACTCACTCTCAGGACCAGCAGACGGAATAACGGTTATGTTGCCGAACTCCCACATAGTCGACTGCGGTTCGAATCTCACACCTGGTGGCTTAAAACTCAGGCCAGGTGCGTGTGCACGCATGCTCAAAATCCTGGGAGGAGAGTGGAGGAGAAGGACCGCAGTGTGACCATCCCCTGGGAATGCTGAGTGCATGTGCCATGTGTGCCCGAAATTCTGAGAGGAGAATGGAAAAGGGACTGCAACGTGGCCATTCCTCTCTGGGGGTGCTTTCTCACTTGTTGCTCTTTGTCTCTGGTGAGCGCACGCATCCTTCAGCAGAAAGAAAAGGAAGGAAGGAAGGAAAAAAGATGTTTTGATGGAAGTTTATTCGTAGTAGTAAACTTTGTGTTCATTTTTAAACAATTATGTATTTATTTAACTTTATTTATCGTTGTTATTTTTAAAATTTGACCGGGGAGAGGGAGAGAGAAATGGAAAGTGAGAAAGCAAGCTGCCAGGTCTGGTACTCAATTGGCCATGTGGGGCTCCAGTGCCTTAACCACCACACCACCTGCCAGCCTCCCCCCCTACTTTTTAAAAAAGAATTACTTATTGGAGGGACCAGCAGATGGCATAATGGTTACATCGCTGGACTCCCACATAGTCGACTGTGGTTCAAGTCCTGGACCCAGTGACTTAAAACTCATGCTGAGCGCGTGTGCATGCATGCCCAAAGTTCTGAGAGGAGAATGGAGGAGAAGGGATTGCAGCGTGACCATACCTCCTGGGGGTGGAGGGGTGATTTCTCGCTTTCTGTCTCTCTGTCTCTCTGGCGAGCACACATGCCCTATAGCAAAAACCTTTCTAAAAAAAAAAAAAGAATTACTTAATGGGGCCAGCAGATGGTATAATGTTTACATTGGTGGACTCCCATGTAGTTGACCACAGTTCAAGGCCCGAACCCAGAGGCTTAAAACTCATGCTGGGTTCATGTGCATACGTGCCCAGACTCTCGAGAGGAGACTGGAGGAGAAGAGATTGTGGCGTGGCCATCCCCTGTGTCCTCCCCCCCACCCCGGGGGGGTTGATTTCTTGCTTTCTGTCTCTCTGGTGAGCATACACGCTCTGTAGCAAAAATCTCTCTGTAAAAGAAAAAGAAGAATTACTTCTTTTATTTGATCCATTATTTCGATTCTTTTTAAAAACTTGTTACAGTCATCAGAGAGAAATGGGGCAG